AGAGCAACAACTGGCTTTATTCGCATGACCAATTTGGCCACAGCGCCTCTTACCAGATTTTGTATCAAGAAAAGTGGATCAATTTTGATAACACTAGGCTTTGAAATACGATTTAAATAGTAATGTTCTTGGATGCAGTTGACCATATAGGGTCTATCTGAGTTTAAAAAGTACTATTTTACAGCGCTTCAATGCAATGAGACTTGAAGCTAAGACTTCTGCGGTACAGAAGTGAAGTAGTATTTCGAGAGCATCTCAGAATCAGTTTTTCCATATATACCAGTTGTCATTGTCCTGCTACGTGAAACTCGTTCCTAACGTGTGCCTTACTATCGCCCGGCCTGAAGCTCAGTTAGGTCTCTAGGGGGACGGTCAAGAAGAGACGAGAGACCCTGGGATCAACTTTACTCTTACATTAGTTAATCACAAGTAAGTGTCCTGTGTAACTTGAGCCTCATTTGCGCGACAAATCACTGCTTGTTCGTCACAGTTACGGTTTAATCCTCCAGTGTCTTCTTTGTTCTGTGTACAACGTCTCATAATACCAGCTGATTTACTTCTATATAAATCCCAAGCCTTTCCACCAGCAGCGAAAGACAGGAAAATGAACAACCCTGTGGAGAAAGGAAAAGAGCCTTAATTTGAAAGCGCATCTAATGTTGTGGGATGTCCCAGGCGTAGTCAATCGATAAATCGATAATCGATATCAATCGAAAATTGATATCGATTATCAATGGCAATGGATTAAAATTGATGAAGAAGAAAAGTTGCGAGTTCGATTGTTGTCGATTGCCGATAGTAATCGATAACGATTAATTCATCGATTGGTATCGATTGGTATCGGAAATTATTTTTGTCCTTTTACACTGATAAATTGTTTGACAAAATTTGTATATAATGGTTTTATTGAGCCATTTCATCTTCATAGCCTGTATATCTTTTACAATCATCAACAAAATAACAAGAACAGAAACAACTAACAGAAACATTTTGGATTTTACATCTTTTTTGTTAGTTTACTTTGAATCCTTAGTTCAAATCGTCAACTGTTCCATGTACACAATAACAAAGCCATATCCGGAAAAATTAATATATGGTTAAATAGTTATTGTCGGTTTCATTCAATCGGTAACAATCGATATTCCTGAAGACAAAATTATCTATTGCTAACGATTTTTGTCAATCGATACCAATCGATATTTTTTTCTGTGAGTTCGATTGTTATCGATTGCAGAAATCAATCGATAGCAATCGGTGATTGATATCGATTGAATCGATTGATTTCTGATCTCGATTTTTATCGATTGACTGCGCCAGGGATGTCTGAGTAGAAAGCATACTCGTACCGGCACAAATTGTAGACACAGACTAAACTCCTGTGTACTTATTTACAGATTAATTTTGTGTTTCAGTCTAACAACTCAAAAGCATTTAAATATGGTGCTGCAAAATTATTGAGCATCGTGAAAAAACAAATTTCCTGAAGGAGTTAACAAAACGGAATATCGCTGCTGCCGGCTGAGCTGATGGGTCGTTTGGCGGTTTTCTTTGTTTCTTGAGAGCAGCAGAAAATAGGCATTACAGAACGCTTAATCAGGGCTTTTCTACCAGAAATTAGGTCAGCTATCTAATAACTTCATTCGGCGGGTTATATAGTAGACCATTCTCACTGGAAAGTTTATATCTTTCCGTCGTTCCCTTGAAAGAAGGTTTTATTTAAGTGTTGGTCTTAATCTCCAAATACGAGTTATATAGGAAACATACCTTGAAGGCTGTTTAAAACCACATACGGGTACCACAGGAATGATAATGCTTTCAGGTTTGCCGCAAATCCAAGAACCCATGTCACACCCATCACTGAAGCCATTTTAACACAAATTAGAGCTGCGTTGCCGCCCTGTCTATGATTGGTTACTTGCTGGCTTCTCTGAGATGGAAAGTAGAAAAACATTAATAACTTCTACTTACACGATCATCGGGCACAATAGAACAACTCAAATATAATTATCTGTCTGGGTAATATTCTAGTCAGTCAGGCAGGTAGTTTGTAAGTGTGGTCCGCTTGGGCCGTCAGCCAATCATTTAGCGGCGAATAGAAAGACAGTCAGTCCATCAGTCAGTCAGTCACCCCAGCCAGTTAGTCAGTTAGTCAGTCATTCATGATCCATCAGCCAGTCAGTAAAGTAAGTTAGTCAATCACTCACTCAGTCAGCCCGGCTGTCTGTTCAGCTGTCCGTTAGTCAGTCAGTCACGGTCAGGTCTGTGTGGTCTATCGATCAGTCAGTCAGACTTTCAGACGGACAGTCAGCTAGTCACTATAGTCGGTCGGCCAAGCAGTCCGACTGTTTGTCTGTTAGTCAGTCAGTCAGTCAGTTAAGCCAGTTAGTCTGTTATTCTCTGCTCGGGAAGACATTAAACTGCTGTGCTCTGTCGGCGAGCGCGTGAAACACTAAACTGTGAGTGCTCCGACTAATGTCATTCTTTCATACGCAGCTAAACTTTCACAGAGTTACTTATTAGTCAGCTTTAGTGGCTTGGTGACGTATTCACCTAGTCTTACAAGACAGCGTTCAGTCGATTGCCGAGTTCACCATACCCTTTATTAGAAAATTCCTTAATTAATT